CTGGGGCTCTGGGCAGCGGGCTGCGGCCCGGCCTGGCCGGCGCGGCTGCCGTTGGGCCGTGAGGGGAGCGGGGCCGGCGGCTGCAGGCAGGGCCGCCGCCTTTCGCTGCGGGGGCTCAGACGCCGACGCTGTGCGGATTCGTGCAACAGTCGTCAAACGCAGGGCTCCCCCATCGGTTCCTTCTGTGTAATGCCCTCAAAAGAAGGTCCGAAGCCGGGTGGGTGCGGGGAAAGGGGGGGTGGCCGTGCCGGGCCGTGCCCCTCAACCACGGGGCGAAGCGAAGGGGAAACGGGGGGAGAATGTGACACCTCTCGTCGTTTTCCTTTCCTCCAGAAGGTTAGAACTAGTGGAGCTGGCGTGTTTGGTCAATACATCAGGTTTTTAATGAAATGACTAGTTTATAAATAGCTAAAAAGAGGGGGAGAGTGGGACCCGGTGGTGTGTGGCAGGCCTCACTGGGGCAGCAGTAAGGGGGTACCCGGGGGCACTGTTTTCCTTCTGCTCTGAGCTCTACAAAGCGGCAGGGCAGCCTGGGCCCCCACCCCGCCTTGGGCTTGGCTCTTCTGGAGCCATGGGGCATGAAGGAACTGGCTTTGGTTCAAGCACAGCAAAAACGTTCTTGTTTTTTCAACGCTCTAATCCGCTTTGTGTCAGGTTTTCACTAAAGCTTCTGCTGAGAGAAGGAAGCAGGATTTAGACTGAAATTTGAAGTGGGACATCCGATTTTTTTTTTTTTTTTTTCACAGATGAGCAGGATCAATTGTGTTGTGGCATGTCCCCTCCTCTCTCTTGGTGTCCCATGCTGTTGGCTGGACAACACATGGTGACTGTAGCTGCTGCCAGTTAGAGAGGTCCAGAGACACGCTGTCATTTTCTCACCGTGGCTTTGGGCTTCAGCACTTCAGGGCTGCCAAGGTCCATGCTCCTGAGTGGAAAATGGAAGAGACCTCTCTAGGTATAAAGTAGCCTGAAAAACCAGTGCAAGGGCATGTGAAATCAGGTGTGCCTTGCAACACAGGTTTTCCTAGTTAGCTTGGAGGCAGGAGAGTAAAAATGATGGAAGGGCTGAGCACAGGAGCATTTAAATGCTTTAAATCAGTAAATCACCAGGCTTTAAGGTTCTTAGTGCCGCTTTTTAACTGTCATCCACGAAACCTCCTCAAGACAAGGCTCAGGTATGAGAGCAAAATGGCTCTAGAAAAGAGAGGAGGCTCCATAGTAAGATACCTTTTTTCTTCTTTTCTTTTTCTCTTTTTTGGGTGACTTCGTGCAGTGTTCAGATCTGCTGAAAGGCTTCATAATTGGATGGAGTGTTTTGAAATAGAAATGGAGTTCCTTCCTGGTTTTTTCACGTAGATGAGGAGGATTGTTTGCATAGTTGGTATGTGAACGCTCGTACACTGAAAATCAAATTTCTTTACTAACAGCTCAAAGAATTTCAAATTTAGGTAATTACCTTCTAATAACGTGATGCACAGACAAAAATAAAAGATGGGTATATAAATATGAAATAACCCAGAGGATGAAAACCTGTAAGAAAATCACTGAGTATTTGGACTGTGTCCCCAGGCAGCCACAAATGGAGAGATACCAAACTTCTTTGTGGAGCTGGCTGTGGAAACAGCGATTGAATCTGAGCTGCTTTTTGTGTAATCTGTTTTTTTTCATTTCCAGGCTGTCAGTGTTGCAGTTCATGGCACAGATTAAAGCCCAGAGAAGTCAAAAGAAAGATTTCCATTGATTTCTGTGGGCTTTGTGTAGTGTATTAGCCAATTCCAGTGTCATCCTCCTGAAACAAATTTAAAAAAAAAAAAGAAAAAGAAATGAGAAAGCATATCCCCGCTGGATTCATGTGGCAGATCTCTGCATCACAGTTTATATTCCTTAGCAACCATAAGTCGTGTGCTCTTGTTTTCCTACTGTGTAAGAATTCTTATTTCCTTGCTGTCTTTGTGTATCTACGTGCACGCTTAGAACAATGGCTGTTTGGTGTGAGTCTCAAATAAATCATGAAACATTGATAAGGCCCATATATGATTGTTTCTAATTGTCGCGGACGGAGTGATTAACTTCACTAGTTAGAGTGAAGCAGAGAAATATTTATTAAGGTGAAACAGTGATTTAACAAAACCAGTAGTGTGATGAAACCAGTGGTAAATGCGATTTATAAGATTCGATGTCAGGGTACACTCTATTATTTACTGCACAGAGGACAGGGTCAGACAGAACTGTCAGGGAGACCCTCCCGTTGAGTCACGAGGTTCAGAAAGGACCCCCTTGCTTTCTAAACTCCTTCTCAGAGAGGAGTCTAGGTGCGGCTGGATCCAATCCTAGTCCCAGACTTGGTCAACGGTTTATGTCTAAAGGATTATATATGCACAATTAATCCTTTACATTACTTAGATAAAACTTCAAAGTTTAGCATGCTATTAGTCACTTACCGAAACTCTGTTGCGGCAAGGATTCCCTCAACCTCGAGGAGTAGAACCGGAAACTCTGTTGTGGCAAGAAATCTCTCAACCTCGAGGAGTAGAACCTTCAGTGAGCATCCTCACCAAAGGGGAGATCCTGGCGTGCAGCCCACTGCCATACAGGAGAGCTCAAAGGGCTCTTGGGCTGTCCACTATTTATACAGTAAGATAATTGACCTATAGTCATATTTTCATGGCAACAAAATTTCTAAGTCCCCTCTCCAGACAGTATTTTGACTATGCTGCCAGCCATCCCCCAGAGACCGGGTGCAAGTTATCACAGCTGCTGTTGTGATGGCCATGGTGGCCAAGGCCGGGCAGGAGCCGAGAGGGAGAGGGGGGGGCAAACCAGGGAGAGCACACCGCCACACTAATGAGAAATATCTCCTGTTGTCTGAAAATGTACTCTACATCTCTGAAATCTCTATGCATTGATGCTAAGCTAGATCCAGTTATGTCCTAAAACAAACAAATAAACAATCAAAAACCAAACAAAAACCCCACCCCAAACCAAAAAACCCTGAAGCAATTTGATTTAAGAGAACAAGGAGATTAGGCAGATAATGTTTCTGCACTGTTTTCTTCTCCCCTAAGGACTTCAGAAATACCAAACCAGTATTGCTTGTAAGTGGACCAAGAAGTGAGCGAAGAATTGAGACAGTAAACACCAAAATTAAACTGAGATGCTGTTTTGCACCTGTATCAATTTTGGTGTAAAGTGTAAATAACCCTAAGTAGCTGCAATGGAGCCTGGGATACTGTATTTTTTATAGTTTTGAAACATGTTTATTCTGTAAGATTTTTTAGAGTGTCCTATTTGAAGTGATAATTTCACATCTATTAAATGTGAGTCTAATTGCTCTTTCCCCATAGGTATGAATTACTCTTGATTCATCACCACTGTGAGTGCAGCAAGAAAAGCATCTCCAATAAGACTTCTGAGTGAGTACAGAACCGTTCTTTCCAGGTTCTCTGGACGGGTATCATCCCATGTTCTAGACTTTGCTGGGGTATCATGGCTAAAGACTTGAGAAGGCTTGAAAGAAAACTATGAGAAAATACGATACTGTCTACAGAGGACCTAGACGGGAGTAAAACTACTGGAAAGGTAAAAACCTCGGTGGTGGTGCTCCAAGCGATGTAAAGGTTGCCTGGTCTGTGGGCTCGCACCGCCTATCGATGACCATAAGATGTCGCTTCATTTCCAGGTAGTGAACTGGAACTGAATAAAAATTTCAGATAAAATAATATTGGCGTATTTTACTTCACTGTGGTTGCTTCACTGCAGGCAATTTCTGAAACTCAAAATTGTGAGTCCCAGCTGAATAGCTTGGCTGTCTGTATTTCAATTAATGGAATAAATGTCAGCCAATAATGCTCAGTAGTAGTTTGAGACACCAGAATTTAAAAGTGGTGCTGCCAAAATAGCGTTACGATGTGATGGTGGAAATTTTAACGTGACTGTTTGGAATGCCTGCCCATGAGGAAATGGCACAAGACCAGAAAATGGATAAGTGTGATATCGACCATTTTAAACATCAGAAGCAAATTGTTACTGCTAAGGGCTGCCCTCCACAGGGAAAACGCTGACTTTGGCAGCAGTCGTGAAGTAGTCACAAAGATCAGGAAGGTCTTAGGAGTGCAGAACAGTTTGAATTGAGGATGTGAACATCCATTGACACAGTTACTTTAAAGATCAGAGGTACCTCTTTTTCCTGTGGGAATCCAAAACTGGTAGGAGAGTGTTGGCTCTGTGTCTAGAGACAATTAGTGGAAGAGATGTGACTTTCTTTGTCCTTTGACTTGCAGATTACTTGAGTAATTTCCTGACTCTTTGTCTGTCTTCACTGTAAATTCTTGGGAAAGAAACTCTTATTCTTCCTTTATGTAATGTCTTTTTCAGTGGGACCCTGATCTTGCTGGCGGCTAAGCAGAGCTACTGAAAAACAAGTAGAATGCTGTCACTTGCTACTCTCCCACTATTTTGAGGCAACTGCATAGTAAAACCTATTTATAGTGCCTTTATCTCGGGTTTTAGAACTTGATACATCCCAAAAATGCAGTTTTGTTTAGGGAACAGTGAAGGAGGATTCTCAAACTGCTGCAAATCCTGCTGCCTATCCAAATAAAATTAAGCAGCATCCTGGTCTCACCTGTATGCTGGTCGTGCTAGCTGACAACCTCAGAGTTAGGACAACATTGTTATTATGTCAGTGTACTTTCTGCTGCTGCTCATTTCAGTACATTTTTTTCCTTTTTTTTTTTTTTTTTAATGGCTGGCTCCTTATTATGCTTCAGAGACCAGATGAAAGTAATGGGACATCCATGGTATCCATAATGTTCGTAGCAGCTGTTAAATGATACTGTCTTAGACTGAAAGACTGAGTGATTGCGCAGAGTCACAGCTTGTATATGTTTGAAGCAGCCTTCTGTGCTCGAAAGGTGGTTTTACCCAGATGTGTAGCTGTCGACATTGCTTCCATCTTTGGTTTTTTTCCAGTCAAGCAGAGAAAGTATCTAGAAAACCTTTGCTAGGTATTCTAGTACAAACTCTAGAAAAGCTGACTTTCACAGTAACATGTTGCTCAAAAGCAGATGCTTGTTCCAGAATGTGTTCCTTTGATAAGATGTCTAATGCAAAGAAGTGTAAAGCCAGGAGTGATATTTTGATATTTTTGAGATCGCTTTGTCCATGTTATAGAAGCTGGAATTGGATGGAGCAAAGATCAATAATGTATCCAGTTAATACAGTGACATACAGATGAAATGAATCATAAGAAATGAAATTTCTTCTCCTGACAATCTTGAGATGAGTGCAGTTCCATAATACCTCAGTCTTGTCAATTTGAATTTATGTTATAGGCAGTTGCTGATGTGTGAACTCTAGTGTGTAAATCTCCCAGGAAGTGGGTACTTGCTGTTATTTGCAACATATGTTGTTCCCTGGGCTCAGCCATTATTACCTTTTTTCATTTAGTGCAGGCAGAAGAGTTTTTCTTCCCTGGCCTTGTATGTTCTTCTGTTCCTTGCAAGGTCTCGTGTTTTAGTCTGATGCAAGAGTGGCATGGAATAAGGAATGATCCTAAAGGCGGATTATGGAAAAGTGAAATTTTTGCTTTATTCTTGTCATTGGGGAAAAGATGTTTTTCAGGTGTGGTGACAACTGGTACTAGAGATGCATTGTATTTCTTTGTGTATTTTTAAGTTTGTCTGTTCTGTTCAACATGTAATAATTTGCTGGGTTTGCATCTAGTCACCAAGTGTTCTTCAAACTGCTGAAGATACCTTTTTGTTGTTAATTCTTGAATAGAATTCAGCCTCTTGTCATATGAGTAAGTTTATAATGAGTTGGGTATTTATCTATTCAATTTGAATTTCTGGGGTTTGCTTCTATAAACATAAAAAATAACTCAGACTATTCCCCTGTATCCTACTGCAAGCCAAATTTTACATTTAGCAGTTGTGATAGAATTATGTTTCTGTTCTGTTAGGTTTTGTTCTTCTGAAGAGCTAAGTTTCTTCAGGTTCAAATTACACCTGGAGTCAAAATTCTGTCACTTCTGAGAACAGATGTCTACATGTGTTATCAGAGCGGGATGTGGATAAGCAAGATCTTCATATCTGTCAGTCTTACAGTGGTTATCTGCCTGCAGTCATTACATGGCCCCAGAGATGATACAGAATTCCTAAAGCAGCCTGAAGGTGCTTCTGTTACTCTGAATATACAGGGAATCTGGGGAGATTGCCTGATGTAGCTATGGCCTTTGAAGTGTGCAAATTCTCTTGTGTTATGTACCCCATAGTATCTACTCTTAGCTTGATATACTTCACAGTTATTGCATGTAACTATGACTCTAAAAATCTTGGAAAACTTGAAAAAGCCTGTTTTGTATTTGGACCGACACCATCTCCTGCTTAACTTCACTGGTGGCTATTGTTCTAGTATGTTTGTTTTGACATGTTGTATTACTGTGTTTGGCATATCATACTTACCTCGCTGTTGGCCAATGCCTTGAGATTCCAACCTAAAATAGATGAGAAGCTTCAAAAGCTATGGAGTCTATCCTTGATATAAAACCTTCCTGTAATGTTGACAAGAAGTTAATCTCTAATGAACGTTAAATGTTCTTCAACATACCTGAAGCAAGGAAAAAAACCAACCACTAGGCAGGAATGGGGAGAACCAAGAAGGTGAGTGCCATCCACTATAGGGGTGCTTCAGGGATACACCATGTGTTTACTTTTTATTTCCTCAGACCATCTCTTGTTTTGTCCTCCTTTTCTCTCTCATATTTGAGAACATCTTCTCTGTCAGAACATGCTCAAAGCATTGGGTTTCCCTTCTGTGAACAATTGCTACATGTGGGTGCTCCTTTCCTAATGAAATTGCTAAATGCACAGTTGTTCTGATGATGCAAATCTGTTAATTCAGGTTGAAGCAAGGTCTGTTTCATCTTTTTCCACTCTGTTATCCTTATTCAAACAAATGCTGAGCCTGCAAATCCAAGAGTGAAAAGTATGCATCGTTGCTCAGGTTCTTGGGCTTCTATGTTTGCAGGTGGTGAAAGTGATCCTTTTTTTATGAAGTATAGTCATGTCTGCCTGAGTTCTACAGTGCTGTAGGATCTTCTGCATCATCTGCTTTTTTTTTTTTCTTCCTTCCATCATCTTCTTCTTTTCATCAGCCCCTTGTTTCTCTTTTACCTATAACTTGTACTTGGTTCCTTGAACTTCCTTCTCATTTTGCTTTCTTTTGTATCATGTTCTTTCATATTACATGAAACAGCTCCCTAGTTAAAGCAAATCCAGTTCTTTTTTTTTCTTTCAGAAGAGATCCTCAACCAACCTGTTTGGGTAATAAACAGAGTCCATTTTGTTGTCTACATGCTACACTAAATGTGGTTGATTGTTTTTGTTGGTTTTTTTTTAAACTGAACTTTTCCTTAGGCAGTGACAAACTGTTTTGCTGCTGCTATGTCTAATGCTATAATGCACAATGTGACTTTCATAGGACAGTCAGAATGATGTATTATCTTTTGGAATAACAGGACCCATGGAAACTAAATCATGAGTTCTACAGGTTTGTTAGACCTTGGAAATGCTCCTTTAGTGGTGACAGATACAAATTGAATAAGCTTATATTAATTCATCAACAAATAATAAAAAGAAAGTTCTAGCAGGGATTGTTTAATCTTGGTTTTAAACAGTACAGTTAGTTTCTTCTGATGTTAAACTCCTCATTCTCACCCTGTAAAACAACTTTATTCCTGTGTAAGTGAGTCTTGATGGTACTAGCATAGTTTAATGTATTTTGTACTTCAGTGTTTGTGTCCCAGACAAGGTCCTCATCCTTTTTTCCTTCTGGCTTATCTGGGGCATGATTCAAAATCCTCAAAGAGACAGCCTCAGGCAAGTTCATTTTTATGATCTTGATTTATGAAGCACAGAAGCTTTTTGTGTTTTTTTCATACACTACTAAATTTAAAAAATGATAAACAGTTCTGCAAGCACCAACAATCCGTGGACTTGTACCTCTCTGTCAGCATATTCAGAGGAAGCAATTGCATTCACAGAAAGAATGGTAAAATTGACTCTATCACATAGACTATGAACAGCATTTTAATGGCATTTTAGCATTCATCAGAAGCTCTTAGCTTTGCAGTCACTGTTGTTTTTCTCCCTGTTTGCATTTGTGCTATAAATCACTGCTTTTAAAATGGATTTAGAAAGTATTTTGCTGACACTGTCAGCAATTAAACTGTGAACAATAATTCCTCAGGAATTATTAAGTTATATAAATTAGTCTGATTAATTAGTGAAACTAAGGCAGAGAGTAGTACAAGTAAGATGAACTGTATAATGTTGGAAGTAAACAGAAAACATGAATATTCACAAGGCAAATTCAATGGATGGCATAATAAAGCAGTTTATCTTCATGTATAGAATATGAGTTTCCTTCATTTCTCTGAAACACTGAGTATAAGTGACTGTTTATACAACCAGGTCATGTTTTTAGGGTAATTCTGACTATTGCCATGTCTGTTGTATTATGGAGCTGGGGTGAAAGGCAGAGGGAATAGTCGGTTGCCGATGCATGTAAGTAGATGGTCTTGTGCCTCAGCATTGCCTACAAATGATGAGCTGTGTTTGTGAGAGCGTCCCTGGGATCCCAGGAATTATGGAACAGATTTCTAAGCTACATCTGAGTTTAGAGAATTTCCTTGTTTCTGTGATGTGCAGGAATTCCTAGGAGGGATTATCACTTGGATGTGAGGCTGGTAGTTGGTTAGAAAGATTAATGCGTGTTCTGGGATTCCCTGATGTAGCAGGGGTCAGGATCTGAAGGAATATGCATTTAGGATGGCTGCATATTGCCCATGCAGGTATTCAGGCTGAAACTTGGAATACCTTCTTAGAGAACTGCACTTGCATTAGTGTGCTTACCTTGTGCCTAACTTAACCAGATGCCAGCTTTGCACTGACGACACCTCCCATAGGCAGTTGTAGGGATAATACGAATATTTAAAAATACTATTTAGAAAACTAATCACCTCATTGAATGTTCTTGGAATTTGCCCATGTGTTCTTCACAACTATCGTGTTCTACAGTATAGTGTATTAGCCATGAGGCTGAGGTATTTATGACTTTTTAAAAAAAGTCAGTAGAAAACTAAACTGTTGGACTGAAGGAGCTTTGAAGTTTTCTCCACTTTATGCTGCAAGAAAACCATAGTTCCAAAAGAGAAGCGAGTTGTCTGATTCTTGGCCACATGCCTATGAAAGACTGTTGAGGTGCTGTGCTGGATATTTGCTGTTGGACCTTAGACCTGCCAAGCTTGGTAAAATATCAGGATTTTGTTCTTTTTGTTATCCTGATAGACACTGTTGCAGCTTTTGAGGCTACCAAGGCTGAGGTGTTAGGCACGTTTTGAGGATTTCCTATCACATGGCAAGCTCAAGCTTTCTGCAGCTGTCAGTCATCTTGACAATTCTGACTTCTATGACATGAGTCTCTTGACACTAAAGCATCTAGAGGTGTGAAACATTCTTGAGAACTTCACTTTGGGAGGAAGAAGAATACTATATATGCAAGGCTGTGAGCCTGTAAGTGTGGAAGGAGTGAGGGTCAAATGGCAGAGTTGAGAAAGTCATGGATGAGGAGCCATAAACATTTCTTTTCAGACAATGGATTGTGGCCAACAGTGAGTGGGAATAAATGTGAGTGCTGGAGTAAGAGGAATGTAATATATTAAATGTTTTTACATTTGTTTCTTAAATGAGTTCTGCTGTCAAATGCTTTCAAATATTTTTCTCTCTCAAAATGAAAATTAACATCAGTTTCAAAATAGAAATATTACCATACATTGATCTGTTTATGAGACAACATCATCTACCCTGTCTTCACGTTTATTTAGATGTTGCTGGAGCTTTCTAAACGTTTTTTGAATTACCTACTTGAAATATTGTCTTTATTAACCCTTTTCTGTAATCTAGCGTTGTCATGTCAAGTGAAGTCTTTAATTTGGATAAAGCTGCATCAAAATTGTGGACTTAGTTTTGTACCATATGAAATTGAAAATTTTTACACCCCACCCTCCCAAATCCCATTTCTTGATTTGATGACTCTCTATTCTTTATTTCATTTAATATCAAATGACTACTGATTTTGATATGTTTGGGGTTTGCTTGCTCTTAGTAGATAAATGAAAGGGAAAGATTTTGTGACGTAATATTTCAGCAGGATTCTAGACATCTACAGATATACTTGGATATCACCAAGACAACCTGAAAGCCTAATTATTCTTGGTCTCTTGCGGGAGTGATGAGCATACTCTGTAATTCTTGGGCTGCATATAAAGTAAATCTTGCAGGAAGTAGCAGAAAGGCCTTGAAATCCATGGGTATTAAAGTCTCTATGGTCTTAATGAGAGAGTTTAAAGGCTGAAACTGCTGTGGAGTGCTGGGTGGTCCAGAGGGAAGCTGTCCAGCTGAGCACACCTGCTTACTTAGCAAAAGCTATTGCATTGAAGCAGAAGTAGGAGAAGTCTTAACTTTACCTGCATGTTCCTCAGATCCCCATGCATCTTTGGTTATTTCCCAATTAACAGAATACCTGGAAGAATGTAGTGTTCTTTAAAAGACTTTTTGCATAACTGATCACTGCAAAAGTTTTTATCCAGCTTCAAGGGATACCTTTTAAAGCTGCAGAAGACGTGAACCAACTAATAGGATTTCTAGCTCTGCTGTAAGGAACTGATGTGACTAACCATGGTGGAAGCAGTTCTTTTAGTGTTCCAGTTGCCCTTCCTTAAGGGAATCTTCCCATTGTTTAAGGCAGAAGCTTCTTTCCCCTACCTGCAAGTAACAGTTTCAAGGCAGAGAACATTATGGTGCTATATATTTGGAGACCTGAGGTCTAATCTACCCATTTCCTCCCTGTGATTTGTATCCACAGCATTTCATCCCACCGGAAGGAATGGCAGAAGATGAAAATTCAAGCCTCTTGACTCTTTGTATTTCCCATGGATTGAAAAGGGTGCTGAGATTTGTATTAGAAAGTAAATTTCAAGTTTAAAATCAGTTTTCATTGGAAGAAATTGATTTGAAAAATTGATCTGATAACTCATGAAGATTTTTGGTTGCTGAATAGTATGCATACAGACTGTGGGAATAATTTTTTTCCTAGGTTTGATATGGATCTATGGAGGTTCTTGCTTCAGGGTGAGTGAATTTAGAAACTGATTATATTTTTAGCATTTTAGACAAGACTTGCACAACAGTACAGAAAATTATTTTTCACTTTTGCCCTGTTGTGGGAGACTGGCTAGCTGAGAAGGGTCACATAGACATGGGTCAGCTAGCCCAGCAAGAGCTCCATAAGCGCCGTACTCAGCTTATCTAGCTGCCAACAACTGCAAGGACGTTCTGTCCTTGAAGGCAGCTGTGGTCCAACAACAGAATGTCTGCGATAAGGAAAATATGTAACCATAAGAAAGGAACTATGGGCGGAACTGACTTTTTAGAACTAACCAATAATGAGCTCACATTTTGCAATATGTATGAGTTAATTATGTGTGAGCATAAAAAGAATGATAGTGTGTCTAATTAAACGTAGCTTGCTGATCACTCATGTTGAGTGTCCATGTCTTCCCTCCGTCGCGACAAATGGCGCCCGAACAGGGACCATAGGGAGGGCTGGACCTGCGAGCCACGCGTCCACGGAGCCCGGGTACCGGTCCTAAAAGCAGGGCAGGAGGCCAAAGGGACTAATCCCTGCGCCCGGGAGCACCTATAGAGAGTCCCGCCGGCCACGCACCGCCGAGGTCTTGCAAAGGCTGCAGCAGCGCTGAGGGAGGTATGGATAGACAAGCGGCGTACGATTTGCTCAAATGCTTTTTAGAAAAGCGGAGCGTTCAGGGGATAGATTGTAAAAAGGAGTTGCCCGATTTATTAGCGTATGGAGTAGCGAGAGGTTGTTTTGATAACCCAGATACGGTTTTTGAACACGAGGAGTGGCGTAAATATGGAGATAAATTGTTTGACGAAGTTATAAGCGATAATAAATCAGCCAAAAAGTTAATGAAGCCGTGGCGGGCAGTCGCTAATGCCCTGCTGCAGTATAAAGCGGAACAAAGAGCGGCCGCTGCCGCCTCGGAAAGGCTGGGGGGGTCAACTGGAATGAGGGCGGCTACTTCCCAGCAAGGGCCACTTGACTCCCCTTCGGAATACCCGTTGCCTCCTTCAGTGCGTACGTTAACTGTCCCACAGGGAGCGGCAGGGACATGGGACCACCCGACTTTTTCCCCCCCCACTCCCGAGCCCCCTCCCGCCCCCCCGTCGGGGGATGAGGAAGCAGGCGAGGGAATGGAGTGTAAAAATCCAGTGGAGAGCAGGGGAGGTACGAATCCCTTTACGGAGGGTCTACAAGTCGCCCGGACTAATCCCTGCGCCCGGGAGCACCTATAGAGAGTCCCGCCGGCCACGCACCGCCGAGGTCTTGCAAAGGCTGCAGCAGCGCTGAGGGAGGTATGGATAGACAAGCGGCGTACGATTTGCTCAAATGCTTTTTAGAAAAGCGGAGCGTTCAGGGGATAGATTGTAAAAAGGAGTTGCCCGATTTATTAGCGTATGGAGTAGCGAGAGGTTGTTTTGATAACCCAGATACGGTTTTTGAACACGAGGAGTGGCGTAAATATGGAGATAAATTGTTTGACGAAGTTATAAGCGATAATAAATCAGCCAAAAAGTTAATGAAGCCGTGGCGGGCAGTCGCTAATGCCCTGCTGCAGTATAAAGCGGAACAAAGAGCGGCCGCTGCCGCCTCGGAAAGGCTGGGGGGGTCAACTGGAATGAGGGCGGCTACTTCCCAGCAAGGGCCACTTGACTCCCCTTCGGAATACCCGTTGCCTCCTTCAGTGCGTACGTTAACTGTCCCACAGGGAGCGGCAGGGACATGGGACCACCCGACTTTTTCCCCCCCCACTCCCGAGCCCCCTCCCGCCCCCCCGTCGGGGGATGAGGAAGCAGGCGAGGGAATGGAGTGTAAAAATCCAGTGGAGAGCAGGGGAGGTACGAATCCCTTTACGGAGGGTCTACAAGTCGCCCGAGAAAGGCAGAAAACGTGGCGGCAGATAGCAGAGAGTGCTATGCTTGAGGGAGACCGAGAGTTTGCCGCCAGTGTCGTGCATGAGGCTTTTCTGGCTACGTGCTCCCAGCTGGATGCGCAAGGGAATATTACCCTTACTCTTTGGAACTTGGATTGGAAGCTGTTAACTCAGCTGCGATCCACAGTGAATGAGTCGGGACTGAAAGGGGAACCTACAAGGCAAATGTTGGACTATATTTGGGATACTAATATCTTACTCCCGGGCGACATACGCAGTATAACAAAGTTGATCCTGACTCAACATCAACAGCTATTATTTAATGCGCACTGGCAGACAGTCTGGATAAGCGATAATAAATCAGCCAAAAAGTTAATGAAGCCGTGGCGGGCAGTCGCTAATGCCCTGCTGCAGTATAAAGCGGAACAAAGAGCGGCCGCTGCCGCCTCGGAAAGGCTGGGGGGGTCAACTGGAATGAGGGCGGCTACTTCCCAGCAAGGGCCACTTGACTCCCCTTCGGAATACCCGTTGCCTCCTTCAGTGCGTACGTTAACTGTCCCACAGGGAGCGGCAGGGACATGGGACCACCCGACTTTTTCCCCCCCCACTCCCGAGCCCCCTCCCGCCCCCCCGTCGGGGGATGAGGAAGCAGGCGAGGGAATGGAGTGTAAAAATCCAGTGGAGAGCAGGGGAGGTACGAATCCCTTTACGGAGGGTCTACAAGTCGCCCGAGAAAGGCAGAAAACGTGGCGGCAGATAGCAGAGAGTGCTATGCTTGAGGGAGACCGAGAGTTTGCCGCCAGTGTCGTGCATGAGGCTTTTCTGGCTACGTGCTCCCAGCTGGATGCGCAAGGGAATATTACCCTTACTCTTTGGAACTTGGATTGGAAGCTGTTAACTCAGCTGCGATCCACAGTGAATGAGTCGGGACTGAAAGGGGAACCTACAAGGCAAATGTTGGACTATATTTGGGATACTAATATCTTACTCCCGGGCGACATACGCAGTATAACAAAGTTGATCCTGACTCAACATCAACAGCTATTATTTAATGCGCACTGGCAGACAGTCTGTCAGGAGTCGGCAGCAACGGTTAGGGCACCAGGGGACCCCCTATACGGGGTCACTGTTCAGGAGTTGATGGGTCTAGGGCCTTATTTTCGAGCAGAAGCACAAGCGTTGATGGGGGCAGAAAAGGCAAAGGAAGCAATGAGATTAGCTAGACTAGCTCTCGACCGCATAAGAGAGCCCGGAGGAATCCCTTCATATATGGGTATTAAGCAGGGAAGGGAGGAGCCATTTGGTTTGTTTATCGATCGAGTAGCAAACGCCATACAGGCGGCCGGGGTGCCTGACTATCTCAAAGGCACTATGCTAAAGCAGTGTGCTATACAAAATTGTAATCTGGCCACACGTAACATCTTGGCTACATTACCAGGGACATGGACTATCGAGGAAGGACTAGAAAGAATGGCACAGGTACCGGTGGGGTCGCAGGCAATGTTAGTTGAGGCAATAAAGGAGTTAGGGAATAGTTTAAAGGAACACGCGCAGGCTATGCAGAGCCAGGTTTTGGCAGCCCTTGCTCCTTTGCAAACCTCTGCTGGGCGGTCAAATGCCCGCGGCCCACCTCATTTGAGGTGCTTCCGTTGCGGCGTCACCGGACACTTGAGGCGGGACTGCAATGCCAGCTCCGTGTGGTGCAGGAACTGTCGATCTGACACTCACAACCAAGCTGCCTGTCGTCGAGCTGGATCGGGAAACGTTTTGGCAGCCCTTGCTCCTTTGCAAACCTCTGCTGGGCGGTCAAATGCCCGCGGCCCACCTCATTTGAGGTGCTTCCGTTGCGGCGTCACCGGACACTTGAGGCGGGACTGCAATGCCAGCTCCGTGTGGTGCAGGAACTGTCGATCTGACACTCACAACCAAGCTGCCTGTCGTCGAGCTGGATCGGGAAACGGGACGACCCAGCGGGAAAAGCCGCCCCGCGCCGACACAAAAAGCGGCTGCCTGTCCAGCAGCACACAACCCCTTCCTCTGCGGCCAGCCGCAAGCGGAAGCCTCGGACTGGACCTGGCAACAGCAGTAGATTGCACCCTATTGGACTCGAAACCTGTCAGAATTGCTACCGGCACACAGGGACCAATCTGTATTAATGGACAAGCCGTTGGAGCACTACTTATAGGGCATTCATCTGCCACTATGCTGGGACTTAATGTTTTGGTGGGACTGATTGATAAGGACTTTTACGGAGAGATTCAAATTATGGCTCAGACGCTGTTCCCACCGCTTTTCATAGCTAGAGGCACTAAGGTGGCACAGTTGATTCCCCTGCCACATCTTGCGGGGGCCCTTCAACCGCTGCAAGAGCAACCTCGAGGGCAAGGTGGTTTTGGATCTACAGGACAAATGACCTTGCTAACTATCGGCCTGTGCCAACGACCACGACGATCGGTTACGGTGCAGTACGGCGACCAAACCATCTCACTTGTTGCACTTTTGGGTACTGGTGCCGATGTTTCTATAATCATTACAGGGAAATGGCCGGCTCAATGGCCAACATACCCGACCAATGCCACAGTTGCGGGAGTAGGGGGATTGACTCTTGCTCACAAGTCACCCCTTTTGCGATGGACTATAGAGAACAAGGTGGTAAACTGCTGTGTTTCTATTATCCCACTGCCTGAAGGGGTGCATGCTCTGGTAGGACGTGATATCCTGGCACAGATGGGAATGGTCCTTACTTCGGACCTCCCTTTTTAGGGACGGCCATTGCTTGGACTTTCCCGATCCCGCTCCGATGGAAATTGGAAGAACCAGTGTGGATAGAGCGGTGGCCGCTAAAAAGGGAAAGTCTGGAACAAGCACATGAACTGGTCCGAGAACAATTCCGCCAGGGTCACCTGCGTCTATCAACAAGCCCCTGGAATACCCCCATCTTTGTTATCAAGAAGAAGTCGGGAAAATATCGATTGCTTCACGACCCGCGAGCTGTGAACAAACAAACGTACGACATGGGGGCATTACAGCCTGGCCTACCCAACCCGGCTATGATACCGGAAGGGTGGCATCTGCTCATTGTGGATTTGAAAGACTGCTTTTTCACTATTGCCCTGCATGAAGATGATAAGCAAAGATTTGCCTTTACCCTTCCCGTGATCAATCGAGAAGGGCCGGACCAGCGCTTTGAATGGACGGTCCTCCCGCAGGGAATGCGAAATTCACCCACCTTGTGTCAGATTTATGTTGATGCCGCCTTGCAGCCACTGCAACAAAACTGGGCCTGTACTCTGATCTATCATTATATGGACGATATTTTACTGGCCCAACTGATAACCTTTTCCGCGCAACAAAAGCAGGAACTAACAACGCAGCTCGGACAGAGAGGTTTAGTAATTGCACCAGAGAAAGTACAGGAGACGAGCCCCTGGAAGTACCTAGGATGGCGTATCACCGATACGACAATCCAGCCTCAGAAACTATCCTTGCAGCTGGATATTCGGACTCTCCATGACGCCCAATGGCGGTTGGGTGACCTGCAGTGGCTTCGACCTGTTACAGGCATCCCCAATGAACTACTGAATCAGCTGCGTCCCCTGCTGCGGGGAACAGATCCTGCGACGCCGGTGCAGCTTACTGAGCATCAAAGACAAACGCTGCAACAAATAGCTTCTATGGTAACTACGCGTTCCACACACCGGCGTGTGGAAGGTCTGCCCATTGACTTGACTGTTTTATGTGGTGAGCAGTATCTTATGGCAGCCTTAACTCAGCAAAAAAATAAAAACGAAGGAGAAGCAGGGGTCCACCACTATCGTATTGGAATGGATAGCCCCTCTGCTACAACCATGGCGGACAATACAGGAAAAAATTGCCATGCTAGCAGATCTGATCAGGAAGGGTCGGTGCCGTATCCTACAGGTGGATGGCACCCCGCCAAGGACAATATGGGAGCCAATAAAGCAAATTGACCTGGAATGGTACTTCCAGAATTCCAAGGAGCTACAAGCTTGGAGCGGCACTGGTAGCTGGTAGCTAAGCCACTGCCGTCACCCATCCTGTCGTGGGTGGAGAACCTGGATAGTTAAGCCGATGTGGTCCAGCCAACCGATCCCGCAGGCTCTCACGGCCTTCACCGATGCAGGCCGACGTTCCAGGACTGCTGCCGTAACTTGGAAAGATGGACAGGGATGGCAGCATCAAATCTTGCAGGCACAGCAAGGGGACTCTCTACAGACGCTGGAACTTTTCGCTGTGGTCTGCGCTTTATGCAGTTATGGAATATTGTCCACCTCACTGGCATTCCCCATTCCCCCACCGGGCAGGCAGTAGTAGAAAGAGCCAATGGAACTCTAAAGCGTTACTTGGAGAAGTTTAAGGACATTGTAGACACAAGAGAAAGGGTCCAAAAGGCCCTCTTTGTACTTAATCATTTATGTGTATTCAGGGACGGTAATGATCTGCCTATTGTAAGGCATCATGCAGGATCTGAAACTCTCAAGCTGCCACACATGAAAGTGTTGTATAAAGATGCAAAAACAGGACAATGGGTGGGTCCTGCAGAGGTGGTTTACGTAGGACGTGGTTATGTCTGTGTTTCTACCGCCACAGGTACCATTTGGGTTCCCAGCCGATGGGTGAGGCCTGCTGTCAAACACACTGACGACCACGGCCTCGCCTAAGGACGATGAGGGACTCCACAGAAGGGTACTACTTCATCTGCATCTGGCATTTTAGACAAAAGGTGTAAGAATGGCATCAAAATCCCACAGTTATGGGCTGTTAGCACACAAGACTGGCACAGGCTACGTCACTGCTTTAATAATATGTATCCTCATCAAAAGCAAGATAGGGGGCACTGCTGTCAGAATTACACCCTGTCAGTTGTTTACTTTATCTCTCTATTTTTCAGTGTCCCTAGAAGATGGGCCAACTATAATCCTGTATATTTTATAAGCCAAGTTAGCCTGTCTGCTTTCCATAGAGAAATTCTTATTTGCCTGTCAATTGACTTTTCTCTGTCCAGATATAATCTTGGTTTTACAAGTTCCTGCAAAGCTGTCAATAAGCTTTCAATAAATAAAATTGTTAAAATGATCTGTTACTTAATGTCTGTGGAGAATCCAGTATTATATGAAAGATTTTGAGATTTGAGTGAAGTATAAGAATATTTTGAAAAGTTCCAAAAGAAGAGAGGATAAACTCCCTCATCTTGATTGAAATATTGCTTGTAACTCATTTTGCAAACTCTTCCCCGTCTGCTCTGCAGATATTTTAGACTCTTCCTCTCAGAAATACATCATTGACAAAACTGATGTTCACTTTGTGAAACACTAACTTTGATATAGCTGCCCCTCCTGACAAAGACCCTCTTGAAGTTTTGTTACTTACTGCATTTGTCTGCCTTAATGGCTGACTTCCTAGCATTGTCTTGCTTTAGAAAAAGTCACCTAAGAAGCCGTTTTTCTGATGAGGTTTTGGAATTGCCTGAATAGTTTTTCCTTCTCTGTTTATGCTGATACTAACTTTATGGTGTCTGGTAGTTTTAATTTAACACAGCTTGAGTAACATTTCCCTTCATCCTTCTGCATGGTTTACATTACTTTCATTCACCAGATAATTGTTGACCATTGTACTGTGGCCATAGCCGTGATAATTTGTCAACTCTCTAGACTGAACTGAAAGTGCTGAGTCTTCAGGTTTGAAGCTGTCTTGCTATTTTATAATTTGTGCTGTAATCCATGCAAGAATGAATTGAAAAGATCCTGTAAGATTCTTCATCTTTGGAGCTTGTCAAAGATCTGAAGTGATGGCCTTACGTCACTTCTGTTCCTAGGAGCGAAAGACGTCTGCAGTAGCTAGAACAGAGAGTACCCAGAGTACAAAATATTAGTTGGAATGCACACATGAACTTCTTGGTTTGCATTTGTTGTACTGAGCACTGATGACTATTGATGACAGTGTGCCAGAGGCTGGATATCAGTTCTTGTGTTCAAGGCATGCATTGTAATTAATTTTCTGTCTAAATTCTTGAGGCCTCGTCCCGTATTTAAGGTCTTTCATGTAAGACATGAGTAATAATCCTACAAGACTAATTAGAATATGCCTAAGATGCAAAGGCTGAATTTCATAGCTATTTGGACTCCAGTGTTTGCTTCCAATTATTGTAAAGTATAAAATGAGAAGACTTAGTTTTCAGATTCACGAAATCAGAGTTATTTAACATTGAGTTGTTTCATCCCTGACTTCAGTGAAGCAGGGTTCACTGTGGTTCAGTGAACAGAAAACAAATAATTTTTTTAATCTTTGAAACAGATTGAGGTAGGCTTTAGAAGCACATAAAAGCTTCTTTCTTACCACCTTATTTTCCTTTCTAGCTTTTTTTGTGAAGAGTTAAAATTTAATTTCTGAGGTAGAACTTGCACAAAAATAGTAAACGGGATAAAACATTCTTTCATTATACTTTACATCCAGATCACACCTCTCTTCGTGTCATCTGAAGATGCAGCTGTTCTTTCAGATAGTTGATTCATGTCACCCACAATTAAAACGTCCTTGCTATTTTAAAAATGCTTCTCAGCATGTCTGAAAAGGTTTTCAAAACAATGGCTTGTTCATAGTGAGAGAGAGGATTGTAATGCTTTATAGAAGACAGATGCAATGAGTTGATTAGAAAAATCTGGTTTTATCTGCTTTCAGATGAAGTCATATATTTTCTTGTATCTTGACAGTTTGTTTAAAACCAGATCTTCCTGATTTGGAGCCAGACATGGTCAGTTACTCTGCATTTGTGATTGCTGGGTTGTATTATATTATATTTTCAAGTACATTTATACTGATCTGGTTCAGGTACTCAAAGATTTGCAGGCCAAACTTCCTAAAATCCAGACATTTGACTATTGATAAAGAAAGTTGCATTCTTTCTGATACTACTTAGTCCTTTGAGGAAAGCAACATCATGAAGTGTGTTCTTGCTTACTCAGTAATGGTTGGGGATTTAGAAAATATTGGGGGAAAAAAAACAACTTCTGTTCATTCAAGCTGATGAAATTGTCACAACTCTTAACATCGTAATAAAGTATCAGCACTAATTTTAAGCTTCTTGCTGCCTTCTGGAATTCACTATCCCAAATTGGACGCATAGGTATCATGTACAATGTGTGGGGAGGGTTCCCCAGCTTGTGAGCATGGGATCCTGGGGTATAAACTCCTGACTAACTGACTAACAGCTGTATTTCAGCACTGGTACTTGTTGGGATCCTTCCCTTTTAGGGCTGCCCAGCTACAGACTGTGGCAGTGGGTTTTGGTTGTGGTTCAAACCCCACACTTTTTGCCAGGAAGCTGCCTGACAGGCAGTAGTTAGACCACTTACTGGAGTACTGGAGAACACAATCCCATTCCCTTTCTCAGGGAAAGTTCCTGACTGCAAAGTTGCTGATGTTTTTGTGGTGTGAGGTTTTTTTCAGTTTGAAGCTGTTCCTCTCTTGGTAGTATAAGTTGGTGTTCACAGACTGGATGTGTTATTGTTTGTGGATGGAGGGTTATATAGATCCTTGTTCAGTGAAGCAAAAGTATGAACTGGAGCAGGAACTGGAACCCCTCTTGCTGCCCTAACCAGTAGGATTGTGGTGTATACTTCTAGGTTTTGGCTCACAGAAGCTGTTATTCCATTCGGAACTGCAACAGCTTCAGTTGAAGAGTTTTGGATTTCATAGCAACTGGTAGGTTAGAAAGATCCCTGCAAGCTGGACTGTTATAGCAGTTGAGTAGCTAGAACACCTGCCAGCAATAGTTCAAATGAAAAGACTTGCATATTTTGGGGGGTTTGAACTGTTTCAAAGCATAATTCACAATTAAGGGCTGTGAATGTCAAATGAGGGAGACCACCTTTTTTGCAAGGCAGAAGCAAGACACCTGAATTGCACTGTTAGGTGGGTTTAGGGTAAAGCTGTCTATTTTGCTTTTTCTATGATGTGGTTAGTGTGAGGAGATTTGTTAATCCTTCCTAAATATTTGAAAACACCACCTGCGTTATTAAGGGAGCAACAGAAAAAGTCCTCAGGGCTTGTGTCGTTTGTTGCAGTTTCAAGATGTTTAAAAATTGAGTAGCACAGTTCTAAGGATTGCTGCATCCAGGTCCTTTGAAAAGACCAAAGTGCCTAAATTCAATTAACATTTGATCTGGTGCACCTGTGCCACTTAAGCCTGAAGACTTTTTCCTCCTTTGAAAGGACTAAGCCATTTATCCCTTTCCCATTATCTGTTCTGTGCACAAATGTCCTCAGTGTGATTGTCATCGTATTCCTTGGAGATGGCTGCGAGTTGGTGTGGCAAAGGGTTTATGACAGTGGTGTGAGTTTTACAGGAGGACTTCTAACAGGTGAGTGCTCTTTGCTGCTCTTTGAATCCCAACTTCATGTTTGATGAAACCTTTAGTAAACATTAATGCCAGCTATTCATGAGTTGTGTTCATACACTGAAGCTAAAAAAATACCAAAAAGGCTTAAATTTAATTTTGCCTGCACAGGAGAATAATGCTCAACTCTGTAGACCATTAATGACTTGATTGGTGCATTGATTAAATTTGGTGCATTGTGCTAATACGGATCACAAAAAAAATCAACAGATATATGGCTTTGCATTGGTCGTACATCGAAATCCAATATATTTTATCAAATGTAATTACTTTCTGTGGTTTTTTACCTGCTTCTGATATTATCTTAGAGAATAATTCTATTGAAAGAATCTGCTTTCAATAAAATTTGAATTAAAAATATTTAGCATCACATATCAGTAACATGCTCAAAAGTACATCTACCTTACACTAAATCAGTGTGCATGTACTCAGTAAGAAAAATCTTGATTTTTCAGATCACTGGGTTGAAGCACTTCTCTACAAATTTTAAATTAAAAACTTTTTTAGCCATGAAGTGTTTTTCAGGTATATTATACTGAAGATCTGTTTTTAGTAACTTTATCAATACAATTAGTACATTTCAGGTAGGACAAAGTGCTGTAAGTGGTGGTAGATTCCAGTTTGTATTCCCAGATGGGGGCAGCATTTCGTTAAAAAGAATCAGGCTGTCCTGGACTGGTAATTAAACTGTTCACTCTGATGAAATTAGATAGGCTCTCAAATCAGACTGATAAATCTGTGGTTAATAACACGTTAGTCAGATCAGCATGCCCTGGAATCACTGCTGTTGATCAGTTTGTCTGTCTTTACACAGTAAATTAATTTTAACCCAGGATTCATCAAAGAGGAAACTTTCATGAGGAAAAAAAAAATCAGAAAAACTAAGGAAACCAACCATGCTTCTTTCTTTGTTAGCCCTAGTAGATAATTTCTTCTTAAAACTACGCTGGTATTGGTAATCCTATCAGGAAATTAATTCTTGTTGTTGCAAAATAATTTTATCTTCAAACGTCACCCTATGTTTCCCCAGGATTTCTTATTGCCAGTAGTTGATTATGTAAAGAATTGCAAGAAACAAGGCTGGGACTGTGGAGATTGAAGGTGACTGAGTTTACTGCCAAGAGCCTGCAAAAACATCGGCTTCTGGGCTTTGTCTCTGGTGGTGCATTTTGGGGTTTTCCACAGAAAGCGAGGAATTCCCTCCCCATGGGTCAGACAGGTGTTAATGCACACTCACCTCCTCTGTGAAATGTAGTCATTTGTACTGCATGGAGTACAAGGGTAGATAAAGGAGGAATTTGTAGCGGATTAAATCAGGCTTTTAGTTCAATCAAACCAGTTTGCAGCTGAATGTTATAATCCGATTACCTGACATAGGGAGAAAAATTGAAGCTTGCCAAAAGACCTCCTTGGGTTGTCTTCGTTTTCAGTTTCTCCCAGTTGCTGAATGGTTTCAGATTTACGAAAAACATATCTCCCCCTCCTTCCCCCCAGCTACCTCAGAGTTGCACACTGAAACTTAATGAAACTGTTAGTATAATGCTATAGAATTATGGTGCTGCTATTCCTGCAAAAGCAGTAAGGCATTTGGTCAAGATGCAGTTAGAGTGAGGAAAGATACTTTTCACAATTATATCTTGAAAACTCAATGAAATGTTCTTGTAAAGTTACTTAGCTGAA